CAACATTCTGGGTATCGTTTAACCAAAGAGAGAACATGAAAATCCCTGGTTAGAAAAAATAGGTATGTGGCTAAATTACTTACAAATGAGCTGTGAAGCATGTAAAATTAGTGCAGTTGTATTGGAAAAATATTTACAAAAATTGCCTAGAGTCAGGGTCTGGTGAGAGCTGACAAAGAAAACAGTTGCTGCCTCAATAGGCCTGGAGGCCAGAAAGAGGGCAAGATGAAAGAATGCAGCTGTATTTGGTCTCCGAAATAAATTAGGAGAAGGGGAAGCAAGGCATTATATGAGCTCTTGCTCATGTGACCCTTATTTCAGTGGAAATTAAATATGCAATGGATGTTTTATGCATGAAGAGAGAAAGGGTTGAAAATGCCTTTTTGGAAATCCACAGTCTACTTTGGGTAACCTCACATCTAGGGAGAAGAGAGATGGAAAGCACCAAAGGGAGGGCAGCCAGACTGAGTTCAGGCTGGAAAAATGCTCCAATTTGCTCGATTTTCAAAGTGTATTAAAAGTCAAGAGAGAGGAACACTCAGATAACACAGACTAAGCTGTCTTTTTCCTTTTCCCCACCTGCTTTTCAACTCTAAATTTTCTTCCCATCTGAGCTGCCTCTCTCCTTCTTTCTCACACTTTGCCCAGAGCAGTCAATATCCAAGCATCTTCTTTCCATGTCTTTCCCTTTCTTCTTTCACAGTAAACTAAAAGGAAACACCAATTCCTTCACTTACAGCACAAATCACTTGTACAAAACACCCCTGAGGCCCCAGATCACAAAAAGACAAAACATACATATTGTATGTAGCAAAAACAAGAAAAGATTTGAATGTTTGGGGCTTCCAGGTGAAGAGAAGCAGTTGCTGATAAATTCACTGGTTAAAGTTCTTATATGGTGTTGATTTTTCTGCATAATTCTCTGTTGCCTTGTGGTTGGGTTTTTAGACATTTATTGGAAACAAGTAGAATCTCATCACAAGCAGGGGTTAAGAAGGCTCTGCAGGCAAGCTCTGTTTTCCCTCCCCTTCCTAAATTATATCAGGGGAATTCACTTCTTTTCTTGGCTGTAAACTCAGCAGGATAAAGATCAGTATCATATTCACCACAGGTTTGAAACAAATCTAGACTGCATGAACAAAAATAAAGTAAAATAGAAATACTAAGGCTGATAAGAGTGATACAATGAGACAAGAGCTTGTTCCTCTGTGAAGTTTCAGTCCAGGACAACAACTTGGACAGGAAGTGTCTGTGAGCCACCAGCACTTCAAATTTTACAGGCTGAGATAAAATAATTTCTTTGTGATGCAAATGCCTCTCAAACAGAGATAGGGCAGCTGATGTATTAATGACAGTAGGGGAAATTCATCAGACACGTTTATTGAGACCAGAGCTTCACCCTACATTTCCATCTTGACTGATCAGCCCAATGCAGCTTAAGCCTGTGAGCAACATCACATTCTGGATCTTAACATAAGTTTCTTAAATGTATAGTTCTCTACAATGATTTTTTTTTAAGTCAAGAATCACTGGAAGAGCTTTTTCTTCTCTTACATATCAATTACAAAATTTTCTTGGATTAATTCTATGATCTATATAGCTGCTGGGGTACAGGAAGTCTTTATCAAACCAATAAATGTTTAGTATCAGTTCTATGCCTCAAATAATAGAAAACAGCAATATAGACTTTCTTTTCTTAACAGCTTTCTGACCTTCTGACTGCAATTCCCACTCTGAGTGACTGCAGTTCAGGAAAATCATGTATTCTGAAGAGCCTGGTGGCAGCAGAGAATCTCATCAATTTTAATCCCTGAAAGGTTCACAGAGTTTGAGCCTGGCAACAAAACGTTGCAGAACATGGCTGAGCAAAACAGATCTGGTCCCTCCTGACTCCAGTAACAGAGAGCAGCACCCCCTGCCCCACACAGCCTCTGCCTCTGGAGTCTGGAGGAGGAGCAGGAGAACAACTTGGCTGAATGCAGAGATGCCTTGTGTAAAGGCAGGTACCAAATCTGGCACACCAAGCGGCAGCTCCCAGGGTGGAAGGGACAAACGTCTACTCCTTTTAAATGAAGGACTAGCAGTAGGAAAGCTGAATTTCTGAATCTAATCCATCTCTGGGGAGAGAAGAGTAAGGCAGGGACTGATGCTTTTCCCCCTTTTATCCATGTAGTTCTGCTGCAGGAGCCACGATGAAATGCAAACCCTGTTCTTCCCCAGCTCCTCAGCATTCTGAGACAAAACAAGGTCCAGACCTGCCACTATCCAACTGAAATGGAGTTGTGAGAATGAATTGCTATCAATAATAAACCAAAGTTTGGTTCCAGTCCTGCAAACTCAAATCCTCCTTGTTCACAAGCTTTTTCCTGGGGTTTGAGGACCCCATTGAGGAACTGAAGAAACATGAAGGAGTCTCTGTCAGAACAGCCTCTTGAACCCCTGTTAATAGTATGACAATATCTCACTTCTGTATGTTCCTAAAATTCATTTTCCACACCCAAAAATATGTTAATTCAATAAAGCACTATATTTAAGTAAAAAGGCAAATGTTCCTACAAAGAAGACAGAATAATGGGCAATACATAATTCCACACTAACACTCTACATCTCTATAAATATATTACATACATACTTCTCCAAAGCTTGTTGAAGACATTTCACTGCACAGGGAAAGCAGATTTTATTTTGCTACTCTGACCCACAGCATTTAACACTATTCAAAACAAAAACAAATATTGATGGCCTTTTCCAGGAGAAATGTGGCATGTTGGTCCAGGCATGATGATGCTCAGCACAGCATGAACAACAGGGAGGCACCTGGGTGCATGTTCCTGCTGCCTCAAAAATCCTTGCACAGGCTAAAAGGCTGCCTTACTGTCCTGGTGTCCACTGAAAGCAAGGCTGTTTAGTCCAGGTTCTTGCTGCAGAAGCACCTGCACTGCTGCAGCAGCTCTCTGTTTACTCCTCACCCTGTTTGCACATCACTGGAGACATCAGCATTGTCCTGAGCTGGCAGTTCTTTAAAAGATGTGAGTTGAGGTATTGATTAAGAGAGACACCAAGTCCTCATCCATATCTTACAAGTAAATAGGGGGAAAAGCATTGCTAAATCTGTAGTCTAATTATAGCTGGAAACAACTAAGGGCAAATGTGGAGAATTATTAAGCTGTGAGGAGCAATAGGAGCAAGCTGGAGGAAGCCATAGATAACTCAATGGGTAATAGCTCTTCAGCAGACTGTAGGGAACACAGTAAAGTTGAGATATTTGCTCCTACAGTAACAGAAATTCAGATTTTATTTACTTTGTGGCCCACTGGTCTGTTTTCTTTACCCAGATCACACTAGGTGGGTATAATTCAGTATTCCTGCATCCTTCCTTTGAATAGCCTGGTGTGAACATAACTAGCAGAACATATTTTTGGTGGATATACATTCTTCCTACTCTTCTTTAGAGAGGGGTCTCACCTCAACTGATGAGGTTGTATATGCATTACAAACATGTTCATGTCAAAGAGCAGGGGCTGAAAATTTGTCCTGTGTTCTCTCCTCCAGTATTCCACTGACTGAACTCTAGAAAGTATATTTTAAATTATAACCCTCCTTTTTATTTCCTACAGATACAGTCCTTCTTCCACAAGAAATCTCCTTTGGACAGGAGTTCAGTGGTAGATGTAATACATCAGATGGGAAGCTTGATGTATATCAGCAGCAGACCTAAGAGGCTGAGACTGTGGAGCCATCAGGAAGGAACATAATGTGAAATTGCTTGTACATGCTGTTCTTCTGCTTGCTGGAAAAGCTCTGTTCTTGTGACACTTCAGGGGATTAAGCTGATGAGTGTGCTATGCAACCAGGAACTAATGCTGCTTAAAAGAGCCTTTCTGAAACTTTTTTCCTTGTTTTTTTCTCTTTTTTTCCCCAGACTGGTGACCTCTCATCCAAAGTTCAAGCTCTTGTTGTCTCTCTAAATGGAATGTGAAAACACAAATAGGACATGTATCAGCTTCATCGTGGAGAGCTGTGTCTGTAGGGAATGGGAGAAGTGATGAGGGGGAAGCTCCTTGTTTCCAGGCTGAAATAGAGCTGCTGACAGATCTCTCTTGCTGCCTGTTTTTCATTATCCTTGGAGACTGGCATCCTGCCTCAGCAGAGCAGGAGCACCGGTGTGGGTCTCAGACCCAGAGCTCCTGTTCCTTGGTGGCCTTGGGTGGGTCATTTCTCCTGTATCAGGACTGCCCCAAGCCATCTTCCCCCAGCCCTCAACTGAGCAAATGCAGCTCCTGGAGAACAGTGCTCTCACTCATTTTCTTCAGATGACTAAACTGCTGTCCTCAGATGAACATTCCCAGGATATCAGCTGATAATACAGCTTTTGATTTGGACACCCACATAAAATCATTCAATTGAAGGCTGGATTTTCACCACAGCCACAAGAGACAGAGCTCAGCCTTATCTGCTCTGCTGTGTAACCACTAAGCACAGTTGCTTTTAAAACTTGTAACACTGAACTTTCACAAGCTTGTAAAACAAAAACTTTGTGTTCTGGAACAACTGCTTCTCATGCAGAAGAAAAGATCCCCACTCTTTCAAATGCGCTGCATAGAGCATTTGGTTCTACAGTTATGGTTCTATAGTTATGGTTCTACAGAAGAAGGCGCTTTGAGAATTAGTTAAGAGAGACACTTCCTAACCTGGCTCAAAAGAATGAAAATAACCATTGAATGCATTATTCTTGAGGGAAGAGCAAGAACCTAGTCATCCTCTTTTAAACCAACAAAAGTTAGTAATTTCATTCTTTTGGCAATTGTTCTAAGGAAGGCAGTAGATAATGCAAAGTGACAAATACATTGGCATAAAGAGTGAAAAACTACATTGGTGAATCATTTTTACCACCAGTAAATGTTATCTTACTCCACATAGAAAGGAAGATCAGCCCATTTGAAATGCCAATGTTGCTTGAGCTAACCTGTTTCCTCATTTTCAGAGCTTGAAGTCAGTGATGCACTGGATCAAGGACAGTTGGCATCTCCCTTAGAACTATTGATCCTGGGTTTTTGGCAGCAGCTGGAAGGTTTGCTGTGCCACCTCCCTGGCTAAAAACTGAGGATCTCATCTGCAGAAGATGCCAGCCTGCCTGGGGACAACTTGTCCATAGATTTTAAGAGGACAGCCACACAGCAGCAGCAGTGGCTTCCTTGAGCCCTGACAGCTATTCTGATGACTTTCCAGCTTGGATACTGTGATTCCTGCCATGCACAGGGAGAAGACACATGGTCACTCCAAATCCTGAACTGTGCACAAAATCCTCTCAGCAGGATGCACAAAACTGAATCCTGCCCCCTGAAAACACAAGTGCTGAACAAGGAATAACTTCTCCTGTCACAGGATGGCAGATCTGGGGATGGTTTGCATTGAGGCAGGCACTTGTCACTGGCCCTGGGGAGGCTGGGGAGTCAGACTTGTGTTTCTGTATTAGGCTGGGGCACAGTGGCAGCAACCATTTGCTTCCACTTTCCTTGCCTTCCCCCAAAGCAATTACCAAACCCACGAGTCTCTGTCAGAGGGAGGAACAAGAGAGCAGGTCCTGCTGCTCTGCCAGCCCAGGAGCTGCCCCGCACTGGGGCTGTGCCCACCCCCTGCTAGATGCAGTGAAATGCCACAAGCCCTTCCCATTGCCAGCCTCAGACAGACAGCTCCTGAATTTTAAGTACTGTAAGACTCAGTCGGTTTTCCCCGTCAAATTGCCATTTTATGGGATAGTCTGAAACTTAAATACAATGAACTTTATTGCCAATCTGACATTTATCTGCAATGTATATTTACTGCCTGGAGAGCGAGGGCGAGTGGTGTGTTTTCTGCTCTGTCAAACAAGGAAAAGATACAGCAGGACTCTCCCCATTACCTCCACTAAAAAGAATCAGATTTATTTACCTTGACTTGAGAGAGTTGTTTTCACAGGATGTCTCTGTACTTTACAAGCTGTGTGAGATCTACCTGGTTCTTAATAAGGTATAAATACATCCTTCCTCTTTGACTGTAAGACCCTGATACAGGGGGGAAAAGCTGAAAAGAGGAGAATGTTTGTTATATTGCAAGCTTTCTACAATACCAGTCTAATGAGATAATATGTTTATTTATTATAACAATAAACACAGCTGTAAAATGGACCATAAAAAATAATAGATGACTCACAGATTTCTATACCCAACATGTCAGCTGTAATTGGGGAATAAATTAAATGATCCATCTGCTTGCCACCTTCTACACTTTTTTCCCTGGTATCCTCAATATTTAAAAACAGTCAGCATTATTTATATTAATTACTCACTAACAACAGCAACAACAAAAACTCTGCAAGGAAATTGATTGTCCTTGTAATATAATTCCCCAGCCACATCACACTCACACATGCACTGTAGTCTTTCCCTTACACTTAAATTTAATGAGTATGATGGACTTGCTTTTCCTTATTAATAGTTTTCACTTTATCATGCCAATACTATTGAGTCTTCTCTTTATTAGTGCTTGGAGACAGTGCTAGCAATGATACATCATATAAGAGGCTGAGAGACAGTTCAATCCATTAGGCTGGGAAAGAAGGCTTCATCTCCTTTCCAGGAGCAGCAGCTCCAGAATACACAACTCTGACAGTGTCCAAAAAAATTGGGATAACATCAGCTGAAAATTCCAACAAAGGTGAATTTTTTGGGATAACAGACCTTAAACAAGAAATATTTCCTTTCTCAAATGTGTGTAAATTTATAGAGGCAAATAGTTGCACTTATATAAACAAGATAGGAGACAGAAACTCATGCACAGCCAGATCCAGACTTGATGCAAAAAGAACACAAATTTCTGTCATGTCCTTGCCCAATGTTAGACTCCTCAGGGAACAGTGCCATTGCTTTGGGGAACCTTAATTGATCAGTGACAAGTAATTGCCATCAAGTCTCTTCATTCTTTAGACTGTACATTTAATCTGGAATTACTGCAATATTAGTTTAGGAGCTGACTAAGAAAAAGAGGTACAATGATGTAAAAAAGCTGTTTTGGAAATTCCTTTCTATTTTTAACATTAGTATAAAGCAGTCATATCTGGTGCAGAAGATTAAACAGTCTTGAAACTTTGGGATTCTATGTCTTAGAAAATCCAGCCTTAAATGTTTCTGTGGTAGCTGTTGATTACAAAAGACTAAATAGCAAAGAATATTTAACAGCACAGTGGGTCTTTCCACTAGCTTAACCATAAACTGTATCCTAGGATGTCTGAACACCAAATTGGGTCCAAACTTTCTTCTATATCCAGCTTTTTTTGGGTATTTCAACCTAGCAACATTGAAAACTTCATCAATACTTTAGTCCTCCTGCCATTATTGAAAACATCCAAATTATGTAAACATTTACTGTGAGCATAATAACACAATATAATAATGTAGAAATCATTTAAATCACATAATTAAAAGAATGAATACATGAATATATTTGCAGGTAAAATTTACTGCAATCACTTTTTAGACAAATTGTCTATCATTTATTTGGCATATGGTCAATTCTACCTTTCTCAATATTAGCTCTAAAGTTTAGAGTTTAAAATTGTGCACAGTTAGTAAGGATATCCATTAAAATTGCACAGATATCTGCAAACATAAATGAGCTTTTTTGAACCATGCACATTTCTGCCTCCAGCTTTCAAACACCTTCACCTCACTCATTCTACAGGCAAAAAAATTAATGTTGGCTGTTGCATTGAATGGACTCTTTTAAAATGTGTTCCCCCTCTTTTCTGTAACATCTTTGTGCCTTCTGACAGACTATATCCTTCTATACAACAGAAAGTTAAATAGTGGAAAGCATGGAATATTTTGAAGTCGGGGCTTTTCTCCTTGGTGGGCTGTTTGGATGCTTTTTTGGCAGAAAATCTTTCAGAAAAATCTCTCAGACAAAGAAGACAACAGAATGCTCAGCCCCTGCTGAAAGGGTTTGAAGTGCAACACACAGAAGGTGCATCTGCAGTGAGCAGTGCTTTAGCTGGCAGCAATAACACCTCAGTGAGGAGAATTCTACTTACAAGTTGCTTTGCCTAAATACAAGAAGATGGTCGAGCAGCTATATTTCAAAACCAGTCAACAGATTTTCCATCTACTTTCAATTTTCATTCTCCTCTCCCACAGTACATGAAGTACCCTACTGCAGGCACCCTGCATGAGTATGTCATTGATTCACAAGGGCAAAGCTACTTTTTCTAGTTAGAAATTAAAAAGGTTTCAGTGCCTGTGGTGGGTGGTTATAGAGGTTATTGCTAGTTAGTGCTATTATGGGATTTCACTTTCTCTATTTTCCATTTAGCCCATTTCCTATTATTATTCCAAAGGGTGCAATAATAAAACAGCACTGAGGATGAGACAGAAAATCTGAATAATAGGTATTATACTATTTTCTGAAAAAAGAAAAAGGAATATGGGTCCTGGTAGCAGCTTAGTGTGACATTTTTATCAAAAATAATGGAGGGGATATCTCTGTTTTTGTTGTGCATCCATTATTTCACCAGCTGCACTAAGAACCCATAATTCTTGAAGAGTTTTACTTTGGGGTTAGCAAGATGCAGACTCTTCTGAAAAAATTCACCTCTGGTGGAATTGCATGGGCAGCTACAGAATTGTCCTGGGGGGAATCTGATGGATCCTTCATTTGTAGATATTTTCTTCTAGCTGTTTTTCTTGGAGGATTTCTCAGATAGAAACTAGCACAGAAAAGCACCTTTTATTAATAGCACATCAGATCCCAGCAAGACAAAACATGTCACAAGTTGGAGAAAGAAAAGCCATCTCCTCCCTGCACTTGTTTTTGACCGATTATGGCCATTCAAGACTGTTTTCCAGTCTGTTGCAAGGTGAAAACTGCATTTATAAGGGGCAACCCAGTGCAATTAGTCCTTTAACTGTGTTAGGCCAGTAAGTTCATCTTTCTCAAGTCAAGGTGTCTTGCTTCAGAACAGCTCTGCCAGCTTGGCGCAGTTCTCTGAACAATCTGACAGTAATCAGCTAACACCACTCCTGGAATATTTTTCTCATCCTCCAGTACCTGGTTTTGGCGGCAGATGTATCTTGGTTCTCATGGTTTCCAGTTTAGTTCCTCACTGATATCTTTCCATAGGCTCAATAAAGATCATATTGTAATTTGGGGTCTGATCAATCTTGTTATCAAAAAATATAAAATAATGGGCATATGCAGCATTATCCTTCCACTCATAAAATGCATCTATATTGAGGGCAGAGACATTATAGCTGTTTTATTGTTCTGACCAGATGCAGTAACATTTTAGGACAAGAAGAATAATTTTGTACTATATATTTAGCTGCAAGGGAAGAATCTGAGAAAACACCCCATCATATCCTGAATGCTGCTCAAAACTTCATCTACAGCATTAACTTCTGTGTGCAGATATTTTGAATTCTTTAACATCTGCAAGAATTCAGAACTTAATATTTCATGCATATTCTGGATGATGTATTCCCACTCTGAGACATTGACTGAGACGCAGGGAGTTTCACCAGCTGTATAAATCACCATATTTTGGACACCACTGGGAAAAGTCTGCTCTACTAGTGAAGCCCTGCTCCATGAGGTGTGGTAGAATGGGCTAAATGTGCTCCCTTTTTGTGGCTGATCTCACACAGCCTCACAATGAAGAGAGTCTGAGGAAAAGTGTGCAGGAGACTATCAAGAGAGCATCCACATGGAAAGGGAGAAACAACTTCTCTGCATAATTAAATTGCTATTGACAAATCTTTCACATACACACAAAAGGACAAAATAGAGGAAGAAATGTCAGGCACTACATGGAGTGAGGATATTTCTTCAATGGTGAAAATGAACAGGGTTATTTCCTTCCAGATGCAAAAATTAGACAAAACCACCACTGATGATTTACAGGAGTTTTTCTTTCTGTATTGAATGGAATCTTTATATTTTAACAACATTATTGTTGTGTTGTATTATGAGCACTGTTCAGATTCTCTAAAGAGAGTCTCCCTGTCTATTGTATCAGTTATGACAGTCTAGATTTTTTTTCACCAGCTTCCTTTTGGTTTCAGTAGTATCATGTCTAGATATGATTTTGTTTAGAGGCTGTGCAATGCAGGATTTTCTAGATATATCACTGTTACTAATGAAAAACGACATCAGCCAACAGATAGAAAAATGTTTAACTAACTTGAGAGGCAGCCCTGTTAAGTCAGAGTTCCTAAGGCTGTTGGAAAACTTTCCTAAAGAAGCAAGTAATGCAGCCATGCCAGAGAAATCCAGCAACCGAGATTCAGCCACGTTGCAGCAGGCAAACAAACTGGCTTATTCAAATGAGGTGAAAAGGAGAACAAAGCAGTAGCTGAGAGCAAGAAGCATGGTGTGGTACAGACAGTAGCTGTAGCTGTATCTAAATTCACATGGATTCAAGAGAGCTGTTGGTAGTTACAATCTGGGGGCAGTCTAAGCAGTAAACCAAGACCACAGAGGTTGTCACCTTATTTCAAAAGTTCCATACCTTCTTGGTGATTTCTCATGCGCAGCTCCTCACAGCACTAACCCCACCATCTCCCTAGCACAATCAACAAACCCCCAACTCTCCTCTCACACAGCTAAGCCACTCTTTTGTAGCACTCATCCTTATTGGACACAGCTGTGGCCTGTTAAGGGCAGGCCTGTTCCTAATCTTTGGAGATCAACACAGCTGCAACTCTTCAGGTGTGAGACTACATTCTGCACTATATTTTCTTACATTCTATCCCACCACACACAGATAGCATTGCTGAATTTAATTAGTGTTTTTCCAGATGATGGACATGGCTGTCAGGCCCATTCTCCCCCACTGGATTTACAGGTACAGGTGCACTCACAGCCCATCACATTACATCTTTCTGCACAGCCCCTCTCCAGCCAGCTCATCCCTTCCTGTTGTATCCATGGCACCCCTGCACATGCCAGTGTCTGCACGGTGAGCTGGGTGAGCTACAAGGTACCAGGGGCAGAACTGGAAAAATGCGAGGACAAAGTGTTAAACAGGAATTCAACAAGGACCTTGCAAATTCTTTATAGCAGGAGATTTGGTGGCAACAATAATTATAATACATATAATTCTGGAGTAAGGTTGCTGCATGCTTGTGCGGACCGTCCCAAGCCATTGTGCCTGGGTAAGGATCTTTGAGCCATTTAACGCTCCATGTCATCAGGGAGGAAGGTTGAATTTACTTATTCCTTCCAGTGTAAGAAAATATCTATTAACTTTGTATTTACCCTTTAACAGAATTTACTTGAGCAACAGGGTGGGAGATTTTGCATAGTGAGTGTCAACAACTTCCTTTGGTAAAAATATTCATCACAGAGAATTTTTCTATCATGTGAAAATAACTGATGTTTTTTTAAAGCTGGGGTTAACCAAACAGTGCTCTGAAAAATTCATATCTGCCTGCTACTTCTTTATGGTTTTGTTGTTAATTTCTTATACATGAGTTTTTAATTTTTACTTTTGTGTTTTTAGATTTCTTTGAATCCAAAACAAGAACACCTGCTGTGTTACCATGCCAATCTGACTTAGAGAGAGGGATGAATGTCAGCATGTGATGAGCTTTCATTTATAGCCTAATAGCACTTTGCTTCCAGAGCCTTTATCAGCTGAAGCTTACATTCAGAACCAAGAACCCGTGCTCTACAAATCAATGAAGCATTTTCAGTGGCTGATAGTGGCAGGCAGAAGTGCCTCAATATTGGCCTGTCAGTGTTGGGTGTAGTAAAGACAAAGAAAATACCTGCAAGGTCAGCTTGCTCTTTTACCAAAGATGGTAAAATCAATCCATCAATGGCCTAATATTAGCTGTTTTGGCCATTGTGACAGATGAGATTGGATAATAAATTTGAAGTCCAACAAAATAACTTTTCCACCAGCTCCTCAATAAGCCCCATGGGTCACCACAATGATCCTCCAAAATCGGAGGAGAAACCCAGAAGAACTCAGGAGAAAGTGAGAACTTGAGAGACAGCGAGAAGATAAGCTCTTGAAAAGGTAACAATGGATCAGAGTGGAGACAGGACCAGATGGGCAAGGGTCAGATGCTGGGCCATGGACATGACTCATACCTTTGGGATAAAAGGCAGAAAACAAGTGATGCCTGAGAAAGATGGTACAGTTACAATACATGAGTTAGCCACTCTAAACAAAATGTGTGGAATAAAATTGCATCTTTCAAAAGCCTTAGAAAAAAAGGCTTCAAAACCTGAGGTGCAAGGTCAGAACACTTTTAGCCAGAAGAAAGTATTGTTAGAAACTTCAAAGTATTTCACTCTGCTGAATGCCAGGCAATACAATTAGCTTGCTTTTCAGAGTTAGAAATAAGAGTAGAAATTAATTTCAGACTGCTAAATGAAATTATGTCCATGTACTATATCAATGCAAAAATCACCTTTTGAGTAGTTGAGGCTGTAGAAATTCTGTATTGGTGGGCCAAAGCCCAGGATAATATTTCTGAGTGCCCCAGAAGCAATGGACTGTTCTGTATGTGGCTTTCATTACTTTTAGTGAGTATCCCCACTCTCTCAACCCCCAAATATCTTCTAATGTCACAAGGGGTGGCATGATCAAGGCCTACAGAACCCTGTAGGTTCAGCTGGGTGTTTCTGCACACTAGAAAAGCATCCCAATACATTTTCTGAGTCATCATTTTCACTGTTTCTGTACCAGCACCTCCAAAAGCACAAAAATACAAGGTTTGTATCTCCCCAGGGAAAATTGCTTTGTTCTCACATCTTGGCTGGAGTCCAGTGGAGTCACTGCAGATGGAAATTCCAGGGAGGTGCCAATGCCTCAGTCTGAGCCACACATCCCTGAGCCACACACCCCTGTTCCCTGAGCAGCAGAGGGGAGGTGTGGCCTCCATTGTCTCTCCTTTATTTTTGTGTCCTTGTCACTATTCAACACTCTGCTCACACACAGACTTAACCTCTGCTGCAATTAGGCTCAAGAATGCTGCTCCAATTACCCTGCTGATTTCGCTCTGATGACCTGTTCACTCAGCCATTCAGCAGGTCTCTGCTAACAGGAGGACACTCCACCTTGCATGACATTAATAAATCTTTCATCAGTACATTTCAGATTCATTGCAGTTACAAGCAAAATTCTTTGAACTCATGTTGTGCTGTTTGATGTATCTTTTAAGGATGCTCACAGCATAGAGGCCAGAACTGGGACAGGCTCCTGAAAGATGCAGATACAAACCCTGGTTTTGTACTATCTGCTGCATCTTTGAGGATGTTGATTAAGGCTGGAAGCAGAATATCAGTTCTAACATTCCTCCACAGGTTTCAGATCCAACCTCCAGCTTTGCAGCATGGTCTGTCTGATCATCCAGACTTAGAAAAAACCAGACATATAAGATAAGAGCATGCCCAGAATTTGTTGTTGGCCACATATAGAAAAAAACAATCTAGAAGTGATAATTATCTAGCACTTTATTTGATAAGTATCTGCTTGTGGCAGTGAGAAATGTCTTCTATTAGGTAAAAACTATTTAATTTTTTTAATATTATCTTTTAATGTGAAGGTAAAGTGATTTAAAATGACTGATGGATTAGGTCTCCATAAATTAGCAGGAGACTGATTACTGAGGAGTATCAAATTGCTAAGAGTGATTAGGCATTAACTCTATATCCAATTCCCTGATAAAAGCAAAGCAATCCTTCCCTGTTTAGAATTCCTTAACCACAAAAATATATAAATAAACTGCCCAACCCATGTCCCCCCCCAAAAATTTGCACTGAAAATAATTCTGCCAACCTTACAGCCATGGGGACAAGTTCATAGCCTGGGACAGATGGAAGGGTTTGTTTTCCTGTATTTAGTTGAAATTTACTGAGAACACCATCAGAAAAACAGCACAAATCATAACGTCATTTTGATCTAGATGGAGGCTTTCTGCAACAACAGTCTCTCATCACAAGCATCATTGATCCACTCCTTTATCCATTTGATTCTTATTCAAGGTAATTTTTGCACCAGAACTGAGAGTTTGAAGTTCTGATTAGATGGGTCTTTCATGGTGTGCTTACATTCCCTTTCTTTGGCATGGGTGTGTGACATATTTATCCTGGATAATTGCCCTGCTTTTCTTCCTTTTAAAATGCCTTTGTACAGATATCAATCTCTGATTCCTTTTCTGAGCTGTACACCTCACACTATCTAGATAAAACCAAAATCCTCTTTTACCTGTCAGCATGTATCCATTGTCGAGAGATAAAGAGCTAGCTCTATTTTTTGGGAGCAGAATGCAGCTCTGTGGTAAATGGAGTGTCTGAGGGGGAACAGTTTTATTACAGTAATTTTTAATTATACCTCTATACTATACATACAATATACTGTAATAATGTGTTTATTATTATCGTTCCATTATCAGTACCCTTGCTATAATTTCTTTATTAACTGCAAGTTAAGCTCAACTTCAGATGCAGACAGAAACTTCCTGACAAAATGACTGCTTAGGTAAAAAATGACTGAGTCTCACTGGGTATTTGGGACAAGGCTACCACATAAAACTGTTCTTGGCAGAGTGAGCTGGGACTGCTGGGAACAACCACCTGGCAAAGCCCCCAGAGGCGCCACCACCAAGGGGTGACACTGAGAGACAAGGGAGCACTGAGGAACTCACGTGGCTTCTCTCATACCCTGCTTCTCAACAGGACAAAACCACTGAGGAGTGAGATCAGGTACAAGCAGCAGCAGTTTTGACCTCAAACCTTGGTCTTCAAGGGCATTTCTCATTTGGAGCAGAAATGATGCCAGAGGCTTAATGTATAGATTGCTCTTGACAGAACTCCAGCCTCTGCTTAACTAACAGCTTGAAACGTCCCCAGTGACTGCTGCATGTAACTCGAAAATTTTTGAATTCTTGGGAAAAGTAATGAAAGTGAGGTTACAGAAATGTAAACACGTTTTTACAGCCAAAATAATTTTCAGTCATATGAGTTTTGCATTTTTGTGCAAGTGACAGAGACAGATGAAGAAAAAGGGAAGTTTGACTGAATGCTGCCTATAACCAAATACATTCAAGCAACCAATAAAATTCCCATACTTTACTGACAAAATGGCCTTCCATTGTTTATTAAAACACGTGCTGAAGAGGCAGCATTTTACCTCCTGTCTTCAGAAAGCTGCTGACCCCCTTGGGAAGCATTTCACCACCCTTCAGCCTCATTCAGGCTCGAGAAGGGAAATGAAACTGAGCTGTAGCACTCCCTTGCTGGAAAGAGTAATTCTCCATGGACTGTTTGATAGTGGGGGCAACCCTGGCACTGTTACAGGTGGGCACAGGCATTTTGTGAGGTCTGGGAGTGACTGAATTGTTGTCAGCAGTGCCTGTCTGGCATTTTGATTGTCGGCAACTGCCTCTCACCTGTTTGAGAGGCATCTGTGTTACTTTTATTCACAGCATGTAAGAGAACCTGCTCCAGCTCTCTGCCTGAGGCTAACCCTCAGCCTCCTCAGACACCACCAAAAACTCTTGGAATCAGGCTATGAAAAACAGCTGTAACCAGCAGCCTGCAGGGGCAGGAGTGCCGAGAGAAATGGG